CCATTATGTAGATGGTCCTTTTTTGCTATTTAAGGTTAATATGTATTCTGGTAGTTGCAGCCATTTTAGTTGTGTGTTGTAATACTGATTGATAATTTTGGCTTCTTCTTACTCGTAGGGTTGATCTAACATGGCTACCGAGAACTGGTATGAGAATCCTGATCTCAAGAAGCTTTACGTTGCAAAACTTAAGCCTGAGACCTCAAAAGAAACTGTGAGAGAGTTCTTTGGCAATTATGGAGAAGTAACTGAAGTCAATATTGTCGCAGACAACGAGGGAAATCCAAGAGGGTTTGCTTTTGTCACAATGGCTGACCAAGCAGTTGTCGATACCATTTTGGAGGACCGACCACATTCCATTGATGGTCAGACTGTGTTTTTACGGCGAGCTATTCCTAAAGATGATCCAAACCCCTTGGCTCAGACAAAAACTAAGAAGCTATTCATCGGAGGATTAAACGAAGAAGCCACAGAACAAGACATCAAAGAAGTGCTGGCCATCTTCACCCGCCATCCTCCAGAGCAGATCAAACTAATGCGAGATCGCAACACTAACAAGTTCAAGGGCTATGCATTTGCTATATTCCACAATGAAGATATTGTAGACAAGCTCTTCATTGTTAGGAACTGCACCATCAAAAACAAGAAGGTTGAACTGAAAAAAGCAGAAGAGATAGGAGGACCCGGAGGTCGCGGAGGAAGTGCAGGTGGACGTGGTGGCCGTGGTGGTGGAAGAGGAGGGAGAGGTGGTGCTCGAGGTGGTGGTGGTGGTGGAGGAGGTGGAGGTTATAGTTATGGAGGTCAACAGTACGGCGGTAGTTATGACAATGATTATTATGGTTATGGTTATGGTTATGATGCATACGGTAATGGGTATGATCAAGGGTATAGTGCGTATAGCAGTTATGGTGGTGGAGGCTATGGTGGAGGCTACAACATGGGTCAATACAGCTCTGAACCTTCAGGCTATGGACCAAACAGGCGTGGAGGAGGACGTGGACGCGGAGGAGGCGCTGGCGGCGGTGGATATAAACCTTATTAGAACATTCTGTCATTGAACTTTGCAGTATTGTGGCTATTAGGGCGCTTTTACTGAAGTGTGTTTATCAGGAACTCTGTCTACAGGGATCCAAGACTTGCATGAAACTGCTTATTTTTATTAGAAATTTTCTATTTCATCTGCTGCTTTGTGGGATAATATCTTTGTAAATTGTTATTAGATTTTTTAGGTGTTCTCATTTCATTCACATAGAATTATTGTTGTAGTCAATGTAGTTTTTCTTTAGTATATGCCTAACAGTCTCATTCAATTCCCTTTTTAAAATCAAGGGCATGCCCATGCCTTGTAAAGATGTACTCTTCAAATTGTGCAGAAGGGAAGGTTTTCTCTTATGTTGATTGCTGGTACATAATGAAGCTGCTGTCATAAATTATTGCTGTTTTTAGAAACAAAAGAGTGATTTTTGACAAACATGGAGAATCACAAAGCTTGTTTGGCATTGTATTTACCTTTTTACCTTTAATCTAATAAAGTATTTGACCATTGACTTTATCATATTATTCTTTGTGTCCGCTCTGAGCATGGTTATTAACAGCCGTCTAGTTCATTTTGTTTAATGTTTCCAATTACTCGCCCTCAATCGCTATGGAACTTGAAAGTAAGCAAAGAAATTACAGGTGAATGACAAAATCAAAGATCCGAGACAAACAAATAATCATGTCTCCTGAGCATTATTTCTGAAGTTGCAAGCAGCAGGGATCAACTTTGAAAAACTATTAGGCTGAACAGTTTTCAAGAACCCTAATTTCAATTCGTTTCAATCTTTTGCAGTTTTGCCCATCCATGGTATCTTTTGTTTCTGTTATGTTATTTGAACCTTCCTTTAAAGTTTTAAGCAATTATTTTTTTGTTTCTCTTAATTTAACGGGCATTTTGTAATTTCCCAGTTTGGCAGAATTTCGTGACACAGTTCCTTTAAAGTGAAATGGTTCGGAAACCCATTAGACTCTCTTGTGATATGTTTTTGTTACCTTAGCATTCCTATCATTTTGAACTTACCGACCAATAGAAACATCGCATTAATTTATTCAGTCACAATTTGTGAAAAAAAAAAACCAAAGGATTGTGCACGTCAGGTAGCTTCCAACATAAACTGCAGTACCGTTGTTTTCAACTTTGATGTTTGCCAGCTTTCCCAACCAGTCTCCTCCACTATGCCCTGAGGAAGCAACTAAATTGCAGTTATTTAAGTTATCCAAGAGGGCTATTTTTTTAAAACAAATAAAAATCTGCACGTCAAATGATTAATCATTTCTTCACTGAAATTGAAACTTTTCTACCAATACCCATCCTTGGAGGGCCGCTGCCAGGAATTATTTTAACAATTTTAAATTAAGCAATGAATGGATGAGGTTTTAGTGATTTCCAGAATAATCAAGGTCGAAGTAAGTGTTGTCAGCTGACCTGAAGACGGTTGCTGATAACACTTAATCGAGACCTAGGTTATTCCGGATATTACATAAGCCTCAGTTCATCGAATAATTGTTTTTATTATACATCAGACTCACTATGAAAAATCTGATTGGTCGAGAGCATTCGATCAATTCACAATAGCTTGTGAACTTGACATGATAAATGCTATATCTGCTGCAGATATTGCATTTATCATGTCAAGTTCAACGTCTTCCTGGTTACCAAGCCCCTTGGAGTGTCCTCTTCAGAAACAGAGACTTTCAATTAATGTTTATAAAGATTTTCCGTTAACGATTTTTCTATTTTAATGTATACTTTATTCAGACAAAGGTTTTATTATTGTATTTTAAAATTTTTAAATGATCTTGGTTAAGTTTTTCAGTGTCACTCTCACCTTAGTTTTGAAATAAAGCCATTTTTTAACAGATGAATGTCTTCTTTTGCCTATTGTTTAAAAAATGTATAATGAAAAAATTATTTAATTCGGTTTTCGCATGATATCATGCTCAACCTCATCCAATAATTGTATAATAACTTATGAAAACCATTCGAGCAGAGTCCTATTCTAATGCTGAAATCAAGGCTGCTGATAGCCTATCAGATTAGAGGAATCGTTGTTTTAGAATAAGAGCACTTGGGCAGGAAGAGCGTTGGAATTCTAGGTTCATCCATTGCCTAGTCCGGCGTCCTCCATCAATGCATTTCGTTGACGTGTCCGAGACGAATGGCCCGGAGAAAGAAAACAGTCGTTCGGACCACGTGACCTTAAACGCATCGGCCGTGCTCAACAATGAGGCCTAGGGACTAGGAAAGCTTATCCATTCACAACTTTGCCTGCAAGACTAAAATACTGAGAACACTGAATCTCTTTTATTTAGGATTCCTCAGAAATGTGGGTGGGGTAAAAGGTAGACTGGTACCCAGTCGTATATTTATGTGTATTTTGGGTGAGAGAAGACTGGGGTATGGTTGAGGAGTGTAGGGACTCATGGGAGGGGATGAAGGAAAACTAGACGGAGACCTTGAGATTCTAGGACGAGAACGACTACGAATACGAGACATGACTTAAAGTTTTTTCGCGTATTCTCACCCTGGAAAGCTTCATTACAATTCTTTTTCACCAAAAAAATTAGCACTGTTATCTTTACAGAAGGAGCTTAAGCCATCGCCCGGTCACAAAATGTTGAAAGCTCTAACACGTTATAACTTGTTCCCGTTACCATAACATTCTCGCTAAAACTCGTGGTAAAATGACAACGGCAATCATGTTTTCCCGCCAGAATGACCAAAAAAACTCACTCAATGCAGCTGGCTTTGATGGTGGATCAATATTAAAATGGGGCACAAAGATAGTGACGTTCTCAATAAGAAAGCTGTTCTCTCCCATGCAGTTACTTGGATACAAGGAAAATGTGGCCCTATTGAACTACAACAGCCATGACAGCTGAAAAACGATCACACTATTACACCTACAAGGAAAGGATCAATTGATCAATGAGCTGCAACTAATTGAAAATGACCACAAACCGCACCCACTGGCACCTTTAACCGTGTAAAAATGATACTTAGACGACAAGAGTTAGAACCTGAGTAAAACAAAACTCCACCACCACCAACCCATTACCTTAATGGAAAACCTAGGTAATTACCTAAAAGGAAAACCCGTGTGATTCCTTGAACTGTCGCTGTGGTTATTGAACTACTGTGTTTCTATTGAACCATCGTGTCTTCACTGTACTACACCAAAAGAGAAAAAAACCGACCCATGACACCCCACGCGCTTCAACCCAACCCAAATCTCACCCCAAATACACATAACTAGCGACTGGGTACGAGTCTAGGTGTGAAGCATGCTTTATAAAACTCTTATCCATCTTAAGGACCAAGTATTTTTTCCACTTTCTTAGGTATTGTTCCTCTCGGAGCGTGGGCCCACTTTCCGAACAGCGGCTGGTAATCGAGCCCGAACTCTACCGTGTCGCATCACCACGCGTCTATGCCTCAAGTTTAAGCATACCTTATTTCCCCGAATAATAGCCGGGGCGATTATTCGAGGAATATTGATTAATTTTCAGAGCTTGAATCGTCGCTGATCAGTTTTGTTGGATCACCTTGCAGTTCAACCTGACAAGGAGGTGATAAAAGGAAGAGAACATGACAAGAGAGGGGGTGGGGATTATCCCAGGGAGGCGATTAATCTAGGGGAGGCCATTATTCGAGGAAATACGGTAACTAACATTACCAGCTATAAGATATCACGACTGCGACATCAGTGAAAACGTTGATAAAAAGTGAATTTGCGTTCTTTCAACAGTGTGCAGGTCGAAATCGAGAGCTTCCTAACAGGCCATGTTTGGCATCGCTGCTTATCTTTCCTCACGGGGGCGGGAGGGGATTTTTCTTCCGTTCAGGAGAGGGACTGCAAAAATGCTCTCTGTGTTGGCGGATATAAAAAAAATGCTCAATTAAACAAAAAAATTCCTCTGTCCCCTCCCCCTGTGCTATACCCTATGCAGCCCCATATAAAAACGTAACGACATCGACAATAAAATGGCGCGAAACAGACTGAAGAAAATGTGAAATGTAACATCAGTGAAAATCGTTTGGAGAAGTAAAGAAACTAATTTCATTCTATTGAATAGCAGCATGATATTTCTATTTGCCCCGGTGAGAGAATTTGTTTAAAACTATTTGTACAATCTTCAACATTTGTTTGCCATAAGTCTTGAGGTTACCATTTGCTAGTAGAATATACACAATTTAGTCAGAAAACAGTTAATTTCCTGTGATTCTTCTTATGATGTAGTTTCTCTTGTATGCTCTTCTCCTTTTCATGTAACCGAGATAAATGCGCTTTGATCGCTGCAATCTTCTGCCTAAAGTGTGAGGCAGTCTTTTTATCCCTAGAAAGAAAAACAGGCCAATTTAAGATTAACTAGGAGACAGGACGGGTTAAATTTGAAAAAAAGAAAACAAGAAACAAGAAACTTTTCCAATCCCCCCCCCCCCCCAAATTTTTTTTGGAAATTCGAGCAACCCGCAAAGGGTTCCACCGGGTTGAAAGCCAACACCGAGAGTTTCGAATAATGAAAAAGGGAAAAAAGGGGAATTACCCCCCGGAAGCCAGTTTTTTTCCTTCATCGAGAAGTTGTTTTTTTCAGATTTAACCCTTACTGTCTACTATTTATTGTTAAATTGGCTTGGTTTTCTTTCTAGGTATAAAAAGACTGCCTCACACTTTAGGCAGAAGGTTGCAGCGATCAAAGCGCATTTATCTCGGTTACATGAAAAGGAGAAGAGCATACAAGAGAAACTACATCATAAGAAGAATCGCAGGGAATTAACTGTTTTCTGACTAAATTGTGTATATTCTACTAGCAAATGGTAACCTCAAGACTTATGGCAAACAAATGTTGAAGATTGTACAAATAGTTTTAAACAAATTCTCTCACCGGGGCAAATAGAAATATCANCCCCCCCCCCCCCACAATTTTCTTTGGAAATTCGAGCGACCAGCAAATGGTTGCATCGGTGTGAAAGCCAAACACGAGAGTTTCGCATCATGAAGAAGGGAAAAAAGCTGAATTGACCACCGCGAGTCAGTTTTTTTCCTTATTCGTGAAGTTGTTTCTTTCGCCCTATCCTCCACTACGAAGCACATTTTTAAAGGGCTGGACGAAGCAACGAGAGGTGGCACAATATCCCGCTGCTCCTTTTGCGTTTTACAGAACTAGACTCTACTGGAACAGGTTAAAATTAACCAGACATACACATATATATTTCTGATTTATGACAGAACACCTTGGCCTTAATAACCGCTCCTGGAAATTAGTGCAAGTTGCAGAAAATACCCGAATTGTTTCTAAAAAATGTCTTAATAGCAGGTATTGACTTTCTTAATTTTTGGAGCATTCCTCCCTTACTTTTCCTCATGTCTGCTAAGAGCCATTTCTTCCTTCTTTAACTTCTTCTCGACAGATGATATTTCTTCATGTGTTTTAAAAAGCTGAGGAAGAGAAAATAGACATTTTAAAGACACGTAAACACTGTCACAGTTAACAGAAACTTAAACATTAAGTTTTCTATCCAAAAACAAACCTGTTCACTTCTATTGTCACCCCCTCCCCACCCCCCACCTTATATGTGTTGCGTAGTATTTGTGGAAAGGGCTTTAAGGGATCTCAGTCACTTAACTTAGAGTCGTTGGGTCACGAAGTCCAAAAAGTATTTTGAAATTGAAGGAAACTTTAAGATGTTAGAGATGATAAAAAATGATTGATTGAGGGTAACCATGGGAGTATAGATGAAAAAGAGATACCTGTAAATTTACATTTTACACTCAAAAGGTCCGATTGTATTGCTCATCATTTATCTAGTTAGATAAGTACTTGATTTCCCAATTTACTACTACTTCTAATAAATACTTAATTATCCTCTCCCCTTATGGGGCTTTTCAGGGATAATGAAACAAATAATAATTCAAATAGAACACAACAAAGTTAAGGATCCTAACTGGTAGGAGTCAAACCATTTGGCTGTATTTTCACAAGCGTGACTGAGGATTTGAACACGGGACTACCGAGAACAAATCCAGCTAGCGGTCAGGACAGGACTTGGAACTCTGGGCCTTCGAATTGCAAGTCCAGCGCTCTAACCACTCGGCCACTCTGCCCCTCGAGAATTTACCTGTAAATTCCAGTTTATATTCTTGCCACCTTTTTTCTTTTTGTCTGATTCTTTCACCTCAAAATCACTTGCACTTGTTCCAGCTACAGGCACCCTTATGTCTTGGATATTTCCTAAAAATAAAAAAGAAAGATGACATGAGTGTTTAAGACGGAAAGCTGATGATATTTTTTGCTGTTGTAGTTGAAGTTGCAAAGGTTTCGTAAAACAAAACAAGTAAAAATTGAACTTGAACTTGAACTTGAAAAGGGCATCACGATGACACCGAAACGTCGTTCGATTTTATCCACGTTATTTTTTTACTTGTTTTTGTCGTAGTTGTGCTCCTGTTCTAATAATACAGTGGAACTCCGTTAATACGGTCACCAATGGGCCAAAAAAACTAGGCCGTATTAACGAGGGTTTTTTGTACAAGAAAATGTATGGCGGTTTTTGCCAAACGGCCAAAAAAAGTGGCCGTATTAACGAGGTGGCCGTAAGTTGGTGGTTTCACCGTACCATCCTTTAGGGTTGTTGTTTATTATATAAACTGCAGTGTTTTACAAGGATTTCTACCACCGAGAAATGTGGTATCTGAACACACGTAAAAATACGATATTTTTACATGTGAAATTATTGATATTTGATAGTTTGAGAACATTTTAACCATTTATCTTATCTTTTATATTTTGAACAAGATACCGGACATTTTTAATATTTGTATTTATTTTTTACTGTACTTTGTAGAGCTCCGAGTTTACACTGGAGTATTTTAAACAACGAATTACATTTGTCGGGTTCTCGACTATATGGCATGGTTTTGGTTTATGGAATGGCTGATTCTTGTTTTANGAAGATAAATTCCATATCTCCGCGCGACCATGTATTATTCTCTATTTATTATATCTATGTCTAGCAGATATTGCATAAAAAATGCTGCCATACTGTGTTGGAGTATGGTTTATATTACGAGTCAAATAAAGCCTAAGACAACCCCAGATAAGTCCCCATTAGTCCCCATATCCTTTCATAAGGAACTTCCCCACCCCCTCCACCCTTCCCCGAGGTCCGCTCCCAGCGGTTTCTAAAACCATCTAACTTGTAAATCAGTTGAGATGGTTTGGATTGGCCTTGGGAAATGGACAGGTGTTATAGCTGTGTTATTGAAGCTCTGTGGGAAAATTATCTTCGAATGTTGTGGTAAGAAGTTACCACAAGAAAATTACTGGTTATTTTTATTACTACAAGAAAAAATATAGGTCACTGGGAAACAGAATATCGCAAAACCTGACTATCAATGATAACAGATAAGAATTAACAAAAATATCAAACCGGGTTTTTTCAACCAAACATTTCTCAAAAAAATGAACAAATTTTTTATGGAAGTTGTGGAGGAGAAAGTACAGTTTTTCTCTTCCTTTTATATCAGCCCCATTCAGTGACTGATTGACTTAAGTTCTTGCACAGTCTTAATTTCTTCACACCTAACCCTTCCCCTTCAAATTTTCGTCACCCAAGCTAGATATAAGCTAACCTCTCTTGCCACCAAGTTTTATGTTTATGAAATCAAATATGTCACCACCTGAGACCTGCAACATAAAGAGAGACATAAAAATGATGATGCATTTTTCACCCTGTCACTAAACAGAGTATTCTGTGCCCAGTCCAAATACACTTTTTACATTGGTAGCACTTCAGTCTCCACAGACTGATCAAAGATTGTAAACTATTGAAGCTAAAATTAAATAGGAGTTTGGGAATGGTGATTTCTAGTAACTAAAAAAGCAGTCTTGTGATTGCAAATGACCAGTCTACCTCACTGCTTTCTGAGTACATATTAGATGTATTATTAGGTATGTTTTTATCCTATTTATGTAACTTGCAAATTTTGCACAACAAGATTTTTTGGAAATAAATTGAATTTCAAGTTTACGTTTTAATGAAAAGGGCTATTTAAAGAAGAGTACTTTTGTAAAGAGCATTACTTTCAAGAGGTTTTTTAAAAAAGATTGCTAGAATGGGGGCATTTTATAGTAAAGAACAAACAAGTCTGTAGGATGCCATCTAGAATTTGTCTAGGAACTCAGGACCATGATTCAAACTATTAAAGACAATAAGAGTAATTTTTTACTGGCTAGCAGGGCTGTCACATTAAGGCCTGTTGGCAGGGGATTTCCCCCGGCTACTCAGTGAGCTTGACCCCCAGGTTACTTTCATAGGAACAAAAGGAAAATAGTAGAAAAAGACATTCCTTGCTGTTTTTAAATTCCTCATCCAATAAACGGGTAAACAGGAACTTGAAATCTTAGAGGAAGCCCTGCGAAAGAATGAATGAAAGGACAAATGCAAAAAACGGAATCCCTTGCACAAGAACACCCACCTTGGCCAAGAAAATTCATTTGTATTAAGTGTTTAAGAAAAATTATGCTAAGTGTAAAGCTTAATAACTTCTTTTTCCTACACTGTTTGAAAAAAAAAATCATAAAGCCAAATTAAAATTGTAAAATATTTAATGATCAGTAAAGTTCCTTTGCTCCATACAAAATGAAATACAACCCACAATACAGGTTACATATTTTTGTTAAGGGCTGCTTGAATATATATCTCTGAAATGAGAAAATTATTTTAAAACATCGATTCAAATTTCTACTGCATTAGCCTAATTGCATTTATAACATTTAGTGCAAATATTTTCATTTTATTGATTTCTTGTACCTCTTCTGGCAGCTTGACATTTTTCATTTTTGGTGTTCTTTTCCGCTTCTTTTTTCCAGGCTTAGGAAGTTTGTTATTTTCCCGAAGTTGTGCAATCTTATCAAGAGACTTCCCTAAAGAGAAATTCAATAGAAAAAAAAGCCACTTGTGAACTCACTATTAAAAATGTATTTCAATGATTTACACACTCATGTAGGAATGAGAGTTGGCGAAAAAAATTGACGCCTTGTTGCATTGTGACATGGAAACTCAAAACAAAAACTTAAGAAAAAGCAAAACATAACTTCAAGACTCTTCATCCCTTCATTTGGCGCTGTTATTATGACAGACAGATAAACTATGGCCAGCACAGTGGATTACGTCAACCTGGAATTAACATACTCCTCTGGAAAACTGTAAAATCTATAAAGTGTTTTCAGAAATGCAAATATAAATCTCTCCCCAGCACAAGAACCTTAAAAACTAAACGGAAAAAAATTATTCTATGAGAAAAAACATTTCATGACTTAAATATTACATAAAATCTTACCTTGAGGTAGTACTACTGCCTCTACTGGCTCCACAATGCCATTACCATCTCGTCCCAGTCCTTTCCTAGTAGTCATTAAAAATAGAGCTTACAAAAAACCACCTACGCAACATTCATCAATTAAACTGAAATAAAATGGATTCCACCTGCAAAAAAGAAGGGCTTATCTAATGTAGGTGAGGTAAGGCAAACAATCAAGAGGAAAATGTTTTAAAAAAATTAAAATAAAATGATTTTTCAACTGAGATGCAGTGCAACTAGATGACAGCCACATAAGCTACACTAAGTACTATCACCCAGTGAGCAGTGGTTTCTCCCTCCAAGCAGCATGACATTTGACAAAGAAATACTATATAATACAAAAAAATAACAGTTTGTCTAGCTGCTTAAACTTTACCTCTGCTCAGAGCCACAAATATCTATGTTTTGCTGCTTCACATATTTTATTCATTACTAGACTATAATCACAACATATGTGCTTAATGTTTGTACTGTATTAAATCCTCTGCAAAAAACAATATTGAAATAATTTTGCATATCAGTATTAAGTAAAGCTCAATTGTAATGGTCATGATTTTACTAAGTTGACACCTACCCAAATATATATCCCATTTTGGCCATAAGCTTTGATCCAATACCCTAGACAAATTGAAACCAATAGTAAAATACAACACAACAAAAAAGTACACATCATTTAATAACAACAATAAAAATGCCAAAAAAATTAATTCAAAACAAAAATTGATTATGTTTTTCTTTTCTTTTCTTTTTCTTTTAAAGAACGTTATCTTAAACAACTTACTTTGGTATGTTGCTCCCACTCTCCAAGGGAAACAGGACCCCCTGATGGTTTCCATGACAACTGCGCAACCGCTACATCTTCTCCATCATCATCTTTAGCTTCTTCACTTTCTTCACTGTCACTTGAACAACTTGATATATTTTCACTGTCTGAGACATTTTCAGCATCTTGCTGATCTGTAAGGTTGTTTGGAAATAGAATTAGCAAGTGCTACATTATACACTGTACATCCAGGCAATCCATATGTGAATCATTTTCAAACGTTTCTTTCTTTAAAAAAGTTGAAGTTGACGGTTGCGAGTCCTCACATCCAGCTGTAGCTATAATTTTTTTGTCCAAACTTTACATAACTAAGAAAATAAGTCAAGCATTCCCTGCTCTTTTCTCTGGTATTTAGCAGGCTTTTCCTCACACCTGCCGAATACCAGCTGTAAAGACAGTGGCATCTGCTAGCAGGGAACGTTATGCAATGTTACTTTGAAAATCAAAGTGAAAATTACAATTAGCTAAGATGAAATGACAGTTTAACACTGGCTTAATGTATGATCCTGATTTTTGCAAGTGACTGGTTTCATCACTAATAAAGTTGAGCTTGAAAGATTTTGATCAAGCAAGAAAGATGTTTACGGTAGAGTCCACTGAGTAAAAATAAGGTTAACATGAAACTCAGAGATAGTTATAAATGAAATAACCAGGGCTGGGATTTTAAGATCTAATTTGAGTTGGTGAGAGTATTTCAACACCACATGTCTTTGCAGGACATTATAAACTGACAGTGCCTCCGTTCAACTATCCTCATTTATTTAATGGTACAAAATGTATGGCCTCTATAAATGTATTTACCTAAAGGAAGAACAGCATCTAAAATAATAATAATAATAATAATAATAATAATAATAATAATAATGGAAACTTTATTTGTGTTTTTGAATGTACAATTGTAAATCTCGCTACGTATAGGCAATTTACAAATTCTGCTTGAGATTGGATTATTAAAAAGAAAAAACAAAAACAAAAAAACAAAAAACAAAAACAAAAACAAAACAAAACAAAAGCCAAAAAAAAAAAAATCAAAATTGCATTAAGTCTGGGCTATCCCAGTTCCTATTTCTACAACAAAAGATGTAATATGTTGCTCTAATGGCTATATTTATCATTTTCTTGATTATATAACGTTGCTGCTTTTTGTCAATGTCAATGACATTCATCATGTCTAAGAACGTGGAGCATTCATCGGCAAAAACGCCAAGGGAACTCATGGACAGTTTGACAAATCTCACACAACTGTAATCTCTACTCATTTCGTTGATCAAGTTCAGATATTTTTCTTTCTTACACACTGCATTGTTGTTAAGGTTAGAGTCAAAACCAACTGTTAATCTTGCCATATTCTTACATGTAGGGAGGGAGTTGTTGATGTAGCGGATGGTAAATATTGTAAATGTTCTTGGGTAGATGAGACTGGGCCTCTGGCCGAATAGAATTTATAATAATAATAATAATAATAAATCATACATCTGAGATCATTAAACGTGTAATCTTGCAAAGCTTTTTTAAAACTTGTCGTCTCATTAGACCTCCTTTATTTTTGTTGGCACAGAGTTCCACAAGTTGGTGACAAAAAATGAAAAGGATTTGTGTACCCATCCTAAATTAAAACATGGAAAAACTTACTCAATTCCTGTACGCTACAGATTATATTAACAGTCATTAGCTTTAAATTCCATGACTTTTTCCATGACCATTCTGGGTTTTTTGTGACCTTAGGAATAGCTGTCACATTAAAAAAAAATTAAAATTATCCATGTTTTAGGGTATTTTGTACCTAAATCAGTTCAACAGATAACACTTTAGTGTCCACCAAAATGTTTGCCATTTGGGCTGTTCAATGATCTTAGTTTATATCTCTATGTTACTTTGAAATCAAATTCCATGACTTTCAAAGCCTGGAAAATGAAATTGTTATATTTCAGGACTTTCCAGGTTTTCCATGACCAGTAGGAACACTGTAAACTAAAATAAACTCTGAGTGGGATGTTCAGTACTTATTAGATGTAATAATTACTTACTGAATAGTAGCTTTGTACCAAACTCCATCATCGTATCTGGCCAAACAAGACTTTCCACACTCCACCTTGCTGTAGATAAAGGAAGAAAAATATAGGCTATGTGTATGATTGGATATTTCCCAAGATTGTCATAGATGGTGCACTGGTGCACTGGTGATCGTGATGCCATCCCATATAAATTTGGTAAATGATGCAATGACTGCTGCATTTTTAAAATATGAAGGATAGAGAAGGATATAATTATTTTTGTTGTCACTGGGCTCAAGACCAGCAAAACTAATACTACTATTAAACTATATGTATACTAGCTAATTCACAAAAGAAACGGTAAATTTTGGGTTATCAGATTATTACCTGAAATCTGGTTCTTTAAATGGCAATAAATCTTCTACATCCAACAAATAGCCATGAGAATATCTAAGGGAACAAATTCAAGTACAAAATGTTTATAAATACAAAACTTGTTCTCCATCATAGTTAAAAAGTGACTTCTAAACTATCTATATTCAACAAAATCTTCATAAAAACTGTGAGTTAAAGCTTACTGAGTATAGGACATTGTTAGTATCTGCACCAGTCAAGATCTGTTCTCAAGTTACCGGTAATCTAAGAATTCCTTTGTCTCTTATGAACAATTAGTGCAAGGGAGAACATGTTGTTTAAGTCAAATGGTGCCAAATTGATTATATAGAAGGGTACAACATATATATATATATCACCACATAACAGGTGAAAAGCAAAGAGAAAAGATTAACTTAATTTATAGAAATTTAGAAACTTAATTTTAGGGCTAGGAGACAAAGGAAATAGAGAATCAACCTAGGCTTAAAAATTTTAACCTGAATTTAATTTTGACCAATAACATGGACACTAACCTGCAGTCATCATCAGAGAACCGACACTTGCCATCCAGAAAATAAGGACAAGGCACCATTGATTTATGGGTTGGATTCATAAATAATACTCTGACCTGTACAGAATACAATACAGAATATTCAAAGGTACTTTACTAAACTTCAAACCATTTGTCCCTCAACTGTCCACACTGATCTGCCTATACCTATGACAGCAAAGGAAAAAAATCGGTCCAAGAAAAGCAGAAGAAAAGGGGAGGAGAGAAAGCTATTTAAGTGAGTGTGGAAGCTGATATTTTTTGCATCTGGAACAGAAAGCCATGAAGTGCTCAATCTGTTCACACTTTTTTGGAAAGTTTTAGCTCTTTACAACTGGACAGTGACCACAAAATGGCTTGTCTTCAAAACCTGTTTTTCGGGAAAACCCCAGGGTCAAAAATTTATTTATTTATTTAGCTTTGCCTAACTAGAATACAATCTTTATACATGAATACATAAAAAACTATTAGGCAGGGAGACCACTACAGCCTAACCAATTACAGTGGCTCCCTCGTTAATAAAAAAAAAACGTTAAAAAAATTAACTAAGGCTACTGATATATAAAAAGAAAAATCAATAAGGAAACAAAACAGAAGTTAAATAGGTTTAACTTGTTCAAACTCAAAAAATTACATACCTAATCTTCACTGTCCATAGGACCTCATGTTGGGAATTGGGCCATTTATTTAATAAATTTATGGTATGTCCAGATGATTACATTTAGCAATTTAATGGTTACAATAATGAGTGAAACAGAAATTAACATTATATTTTCATTTTTATTTTTATTTTAATTCAATTCAAATCAATTGTGAACATTAAATTTATAAATTCCACAAAAGTCTAAACTACATTGTGTAAGGTTTGAACATTTCATGGGCTTTGTTTTAATATGCTGTTGATTTATCACATTTAATGCCTTGGTAATCTTGAAAACATAGAAAAAATAACATGGAAAAAATGACAACACATGAATTGTACTTCCCAGATCTCAGAATGATTACATTATACTAGCTGCTTGTCTGTAAAAATTATTTACTGTACCTTTGTTGTTTCATTGCCATCAGCTAATTCAACAGTTTCTGCATCAAAAACCATGGCATTATGCTGCTCTGTCACACCCCAGTCCTGTCAAGAATGAAAGAGTGCCATGATTTTAAACTCCCCCTTTGTGTAAATCTCTATACTCTTTTTACAAAATTTTACTGTCAATACTAGATAAAATTTGAGTAGGAGATCTGCATGGGCATTTACAATGGCAAGTCAAAGGTAAGCCACAATTGTAAAGACCCACACAGATTGGACGCAAAAATAATTGATTTCATACATGGAAATTATGTAACAATAATTAAGAGTTTTCCTTGGCTACGAACTTTGTTCAAACCCACGTGGTCAGCACTATTTTTCAGTTACATGTTTTGGTTTCCTTTCACACTTCTTGCCATAATTTGTAATAAGGTCATTGTATACTCTTTCTTGTCTAAAGTTTCACTGACTTAATGTGACTGTGATCCATTAAGAAAACATGTCTGTTATTTGGCATTTACATTAAGTTTGTGAGTCTGGTTACTAAAGGCAACATCAAGTTTCATGCTACCCCCAGCAAGGGAGCATGGGAATACAACAAGGTTCATCTTAATAAAAATTAATACTGCCGCTTCAACCAAACATGGGTTAGTGGTACAATTTCGCCCAAAAAAATTTTAAATAAAGCAGCTTGCACATGAACAGCTTCCAAGTCTCCAATACAGATAAGAGATCAATAAATTACCATCTTCCCTAACCTACCTGTGTATATGAAATGCGACATTTCATTCCAGTGATATCATCTTCCACTTCTGACAGGTCCTTATCATCTGAAACTTCCTAATCACAAAGAGAGCACAATTGTTGTTAAAATAATATTATATAACAGACAGACAAGAAACTGTATAAAGTAGAACCTCGATTTAATGAAGTGCCAAGAGACTGGGGAAATTTGTTCATTATTATTGAGGGGTCGTTATATCAAACACCTCCATTTAACGAATTTTCAGGAAAACAACCAAAATGTTTGTTATATAAAGGTAAAGTTAATAATTAATTTACAAAACCCAGCATTTCTGAATCTAAAAAATTACTGTTATGTAGTAACATTTTAGTATGTTTGCACTTGTGGATTGTGTTTGTTATAACAATGATTCCGTTAAATCAAGGTTCGTTAAATCAAGGTTCTGCTCCATACATTTTGCTGTAATTTGGTCGGGCTGAAGAAAATCATTTGTTACATCAAAAGACTTTATTATATAGCTCTAGGCCGGACTGCATTAAATAGAGGTTCTACTGTACCAAACAGAAATTGTGATACAATCACATAAATTAAAACATTGATTATGATTTAAAGGTAGCACATACACAAAGTGGTTCCTCATTTTCTATTCCTGGTCAAATTGGAATTTTGGAAATGTTGGTTTTTCAGGATAAGGGAAAACCAGAGTAGCTGCAAAAAAACCTGTCAGAGCAAGGGAGAGAACCAGTAACAAACTCAACCCTACATATGACATAGACGCTGGAACTCAGACGTGGGCCACATTGGTGGGAGTTGAATGCTCTCTGCACCACTGCACCACCCTTTCTCCCCTTGCTCCCCTGTCATGCATATGTCTCTTTGGTTATCTACTAACAGTTTAATATGGGAGATTTGGAATAATTGAAATCCAGTTGATGACAATCATAAAATGACAGGAAAATGTTCAGAAGAATGATCATTACATCACTTGAAGACAGCAGGAGCAACTCAGTTGTTATGAAAATGCAAAGCCTCAAATTAAAGATTCAAAATGATGGCAAGAATAGACAAAATACCACCAGGAGGATATTACATGTAACTACGTTTTGAAGAATATCTGTAACTTAATTAATTGCATTATATGAAAGTAGATCATTGCAGTTATAGACACAACTTTTGCAGTTGCGAAAAGAAAGCCTGAAAAAAAATTGGCTGGTACGGATTCGAATGTTTGACCTTTGCGATACCGGTGCAGCGCTCTGTCAATTGACCTAACAAGCCAACTGCTAGCAGGTTGTTGAATTGCTTCATTATAAACCTGTGAAAGGATGATCATGAAGTCATGAATATATGAAAATCATATGTGTGAACTGCGGGGTGAAGAATAGATCATCAAAAGTGAAGGTGAAAGTAGATCATCGTAGTTATAGACGCAACTTTTGCATTTGCAAAAAGAAAGCAAAAAAAAATTCAGGCTTGTATGGGATTCAAACCCTTGACCTCTGCGATACGGGTGCAGTCCTCTACCAATATTGAGCTAACAAGCCAACTGGGAACAGGTCATTGAATTTGTTCATTAATAAACCCATGAAAGGATGAAGACGTAGTTATGAATATGTGAAAATCATATATGTGAACTGCAGGGTGAAGAATTATATGAAAGTAGATCATTGCAGTCATAGACGCAACTTTTGCAGTTGCAAAAAGAAAGGATTTTTTTTCAGGCTTTCTTTTTGCAACTGCAAAAGTTGCGTCTATAACTGCAATGATCTACTTTCATTATTCTTCACCCTACAGTTCACATGTATGATTTTCATATTCATAACTTCTTTAATAATTAACTGTGTGTTTTTTGTACACAAACTGTTGTATGTGATGGAAATAAATAAATGAAATGAAATGAACAATAAAATGAAAAGTGACAGGTCTCTAGAGAACAAAACGTTTTGATTGATTAGGGTGACAAAAAACTTACACTACACTCACAGTATCATTTCCTACTTCGCTTGAGTAGGCACTTTCATTCAAATTTTCTGGAATGATGCTGACTTCCTCTTCTGCATTATCAAGCAACTGGAGTAACTTGCTCTTCTTCAAAGACAACAGGCTTTCTATCAACGCATGCAAACAAAAAATATATTTACCTTGACCAAGCTCATAACAAAAGGCTTTACAACTATGATGCTCTCATGAAATACTCTACCTAAATCAGTTTGCACAATACTAGGATTAATGGTAAAATGTCATAAGGCTGACCACAACTACTGGGGTCTATACAGAGGTAGGTTCCCTACTCTTTACGAACAGCAGTGCAGCTTCTCTTACGTCCCACATACCAGAGCCAAATCAGTAGAACTGCTGTCAGTCAGGGCCTAAAGGGTTTTCTCCTTAAGCAAGAAGACTCTACAAATGCCTAACCATCTGTGAATGTTCAGGCAAAGGCAGTATATTCTCTTTGAAACAGGATTGAAACAGCTAGTACTACATAGTAAAGTACTGAAAAATATTTGCAATATTGTTTTTAGATACCTTCTGATACGTGAATCAGCTCTACAAGGTCATCTCTCAGCTTAAGAAGATCTTCCTGATTTTCTTCTCCCGTGTTTTCTAAAACGCTTTGGATCTGCAGGAACTGAAAATTCAGTGTGAAAAGATATTTGGTGAACATTGACAATTTCGCTTGTCTGACAAAATGTTTGAGAACGTTTTGTAATCATTTCAGCTCTACAAACAAAATTAACTTACTTGTGCCTTATATTGTTCTAAATTTTGTTGAAGAAGTTCTTCATCCATCTATAAAATTTACAAACATTTAGGGAATATTTTGAAGCGGGAAAGAGATCGGCCAGTCTACAGTTTCAGACAGGCATCCCAATCTCAAAACCTCGTTCCCAGGGAGAAACTGCGCAGTCCCAGTCTCCGAGCAAAATAAAAGACCGAGGGGGCTCTCCCCTTTTCCGCTAGAAAAGCATGGTACTCCTTCTTTTATGGATATTAGACAGAATTTTCAACTAAAACTTCTGCTGGACCCATTTTTAAACGAGATATAAAGACTGTAAACCAACAGCCATCCATTGTGGGTCTTGTATAAACGTAATAACAGTTTTAAAATATAGACGGTTTTTAGCCTGCGAAAATAGTCTGAAATTAAATGTCATACGTCTCCACCTAACCAACCAACATTTTGCGACGCCACCGCTATTTCGAGGGAAAACTAATGGAGGCGTCGCAAAATGTCGGCTGTTTTCTCAGGCTAAGACTTTTTGGAAGTGCGTTTTATTTTGCTTTGTTGGTGACTTAATTTGTCGCTCACAAAAGACAAAGTCACAAAATTATTTAAAATATTGACTAAAATATTGCGAAAGTTTGTATTGTGAAATAAAACAATTCAAGATGACCTATGCTGGTAGAGTATAAAATACAAAGAAACAAACAAATTAATTACTATCTAATGATGAGGCCGACATCAATAAATGCTCAGTTAAAAATGAAACTAACATAAGCAATATTCTATGAGTAATGAAACTGAAAACCATGAATTAAAGTTTGGCTTTGGACAAGCCACGCTGGAATTAAACTCAGTCTTGAATACAGCTGAGGGGGTGGACTGTTAAGGATTCCACACATCGGGCAGTAAAGTTAATCAAGAGTAGTCCAGTACGTATATCCATCATTTAGAGACAAAAATAATTACGGATATTGTGTTAGATTTAGTATTACAATCATAAAACCTTTATTATTTTGAGCAAACGGTGTCACGATTGTCAGTAAAAATAGCTTTATGTTCAACCTCCCAAGTGGCAATGCGTCAGTTGCAGACGCGAACAGGGAAGAGCCACGGCTAGCAAGCAGCCTTAGGTGTAGCTTCCGTAATAAGACAAGGTCGACGCTGTCTATACTCATGTAATGTCGCCTAAATAGGTCCCTCGAGTCTAAAAGAGGTTAACAAAATTCAAAAAACATAATTAAAGCACCTAGTGGTAGCATGAAGGAAATGATGCGACGCAAGACCTACGTAGTTTTTTTGTTTATTTTATGACGCATGTAATCAACGTACTCCCACCTATTAAAATAGACCTTAAATCAAGAGCCATATTATGATCTCCTGACTGCATGAGTAATACACTCCATACTGTAAAGGCCTCACTCGAACAAGGGTGGCTAATTTTACTTGTTCAAAAATAGAAGCATAACGTTATCTTTCTATTAAAAGAATGAAATACAATATCGATTTGAAAAACATTTCAAAAGGAGAAACTACCTTTCCACAGCTGTCGCTTAATTTTTACGCGCGTTAAAGTCGCTCAAGTTTTACATTTACACGCAACCTTTCATACATTGTCTCTATTTTATTTACGCACGTTCGTACCGCCGCAAAAATTTAGCGACATTGGAATCAGCTTATTTTGGCAATATATGTTAAGTGTTTGTGATTGAATCATGGGATGACGCGAGTTTAGAAGTGTTTGGCCCTATGTCTAATGCCAAAAGGAAGAATATACTTGTATACTACCGCATTCTTTTGCTGTTTGAAAACTTTGATTCCTTGGTTTGCAATCACGTGACCAGGCTTCCATGTTATTAAAAATAATAATTTTTTTTTCGCAGAGGTCTTGGCAGAATTTGTAGGAAAACATAATTAAGTTTCTAGCGGAGGGGGAGACTTTTGTTCTTGCCCTCCTGCATGGCCGCCGTAAGGTCAGCTACAAACCAGCGATACAACAAACATCTCATCTTCTAAGAAGTCTTTCAGGAACGTGCCGTGTAAGACAAGGACTTCCGCCTTTGCTAAGATTGAATACTCGTTTTGGTTTCCGTGCGTGACGTCTCCATATAACTTTAAACCTCGCGTTTCCTGCGGTCTTGTGGTCTTACAATATGATGTACAATTATCTGCTTTGCACTGACAAGCAGTTCGCTTGTAGTGAGCACCTTTAATTTCTTACAGGGAAAATGGTGGAAATGAGGAATGACACAATAAACTGCATTCTTGAAAACCTGTTTAAGTTAAACGGCAGTCTTGGTCCTTTTTTATCATTATCTACTGCCCTACATCTCGACAAGTTGCTAAGATAGCTTGAAAAGTCGCACTCTAAGCAACGCGAATCGTGCTGTTATGATAGTCAGTAGTAGCCCATGGCCATTTAATCTTGACTGACCGATCCTTAGCTAGCCTGTGTAGCTAGCGGGATTTGCAGCAAACACTTGATCTGAGATCCCTAGCTACCTCGCAGCTCATTTTCATGCTAATACAAGAACGGTTTCTATGCAGGCTGCGAGGTACGGGCGAGCTACAGTATTCTGGATACTGCGCGCCCCAATTCATTCATTACAACACCCCGCTATATGTACAGTAAATAGAATACGGTAATTAAAAATTAATGTCTTCCACAGAGCTAAAACTTTTCCTCTAAAGAGAAGAAAAAATATGTAAAATGAGGGGTATAATGGTTTTAAGAGAAGACAACGATTGTACGTTATAAAAGGTAGCGTAATTCTACAACGCAACCGATCTAAACAACAATTCCAGATCGCCGCGAAAAATCGCGCTCTTCGAAAACGAGGCGGAAAAAGTTGTCAAGAGCAAGTCAAGACGCGCTTTTTCTTGTGTACCATTTTTCTGAAAACGCCGTCTTTTCGCCACCTTGTCGACGGGCTGGTGTCCGGAGGGTTGTCTGCAGGGTGGTCTTTGAGCGTGCCCAAACATTTCATCTTTTGTTTTCCATTTGACAACAAGTTTTTTTATACATACGAAAAAATGGGAAACATGTTCTGCTTTTTTTTTCTTTTCACCTCACTAATAGAAATGAATGATGTAATTAACCCTGGTAAGACAATTACCAAGACGGCGACAGCGGCAAAAAAGTCTCTTAAAAAGTGAAATCACCTTCTTTTAATCTTCATCGCGATAATTCCAGGTCGCTTACTTTGTTAAATGTAGACGAACTCTATTGGAGTTGAATTCGTAAGAACTACATCCAGGTTTAGCCTGAATTTCATCTGATTACTTCGAGTCGTTATTACTTCCTCAGTAAGTTGCTGAGAGGAGAAAACGACTCGAAGTAATCGGATGGAATTCAGGCTAATCCAGGTTCAAAAAAAGAGAGAGAAAATTTCATTGTCGCTTGTTTACGTTCTCCGTAGGGCGTGATTTTCTCGTCTTACTCGTGCAATGACCGACGGCGACGAGAGTATGGACAACAGAGGTGTACCGCACGTGCAGAGTTGTTTTTTCGCTAACCTATTGAAAAACCACCACCTTCAGTTAGTCCATTTTGATATTGGCCCAGTACAAGAGAAACAGAACGCACTTTATATAAGCTCACGTGCCGGATACACTGGTAAAATGGACAATTTCTTTGGTGAAAATGCGGTCATTTCCGTGCAGGCAATCTCAGTGTGTTTAAGTATGGAAGAAACGAGAAGAACTCTGTATTTAAAAAAGCGATAATTATATAAAAAAGATAAACTTGACCCTTTGTTGGTATAATCCGAGACGAGGCTACAGGTATATTAGTCTTTTTTATAACTTTAATAAAAATTGCGGTTGTCGGTATTTTTTTATGGAAAAAGCTTGATAGAGATTAGAATAGCCCTGTGCTTCAATTATGTCGAAATACTGTCAAAGAATTAGCAACCATATGACACATTCATTATATGACTGATATCAGAAAGTTTTCTTCTGTTCTCGGTACAAAGCCATTTATCGAACAGTTATCTGAGAAAAGAAATAAAGCCATATTTAAACAAATAACAGCTAAAAAAAATTAGACAGAAGAAGCGTTTGATTGCAGTTAAAGAAACCACATTCTGAAACCAAGGCAATTTAAATCCCTATCAAGCAGGTAGGCTATATACAAATAGCGATATCAGCCATATGAATTAGTGACGTAGGTATCTAACTAATATTTGTGTTAGCTTTTTAATGAAAAGCGCATTTTATATCGTCTGCGTGGGCATACAGGCGAGATCAGACAAATATGCCCCATTTTTGTAATGCATTTGACAGCTAAATAAGTCTTCAGCATATTGGCTTCATTAATTATTGCGTTTAGTCCAAGGTTAAATAAAGTGACGATTGGACGAAAACTGATCGAGTTCGTTATACAGCTTTTTATTTCTTATTACGGAAAAGTCAGGTTTGAATAGTTTGCGGTATGTACAGGAGCGGCCTGGTATCTACCATGAATGAGTTTTGAAGTCAATGGTAAACTGGATCAATCGTAATGGTGCACCTGGATAGATCAATATCCTCGGTTTCTATTTTAATTTTATCATGTTTAAGGCAATTTTTTTTCGCTCAGGATTGGAATTCACAATTATTCATTGACTTTATAAAAAAATTGAATGGCCGAAAGACTGACAAGCTTTCATTATATCGAGGTTCTTTTTCGTATATTTTACTATTTTCGGGTAAAGAAAATCGTTCGCTATTCATTATATAGAGGTTCGTTATATCGAGGTTCCACTGTACAATATTGCAGAAGCTATTTTAAGAATTAGTAAGAACTAGAAATTTCATCACAGGACAAGTTTTCCGAGTCTTGTTTTGGTGATAGCCCTTGTGTAAAGAAATTAAAAAAGCCCCAGGCTCGTGAACTCATGAGTCTTGGATCACAGTCAACCGATTTGCGTTGCCTGTGTTGTAAAATCGTTGACACATACAGCAAAAATCAAACAAACAAACAAACTGAAATGAAACCAACATAACGAAGTGGTACAATGTGTACACAAGAGAGAAAGAGCTTTTTTCTCTCTTAGTGCACATCGATATTGTTAGGTCTTTGCATCTAAATACTTTACAAGATATTGAAACAAATCAGATCTACAATGTGGTGCATTTTCTGATAGACCGTATTGTGCTCAGTTCAAAATAGACAATAACGCCTAAGTTTGGAAAAAAGTTGACGCAGACATCGTTTTATCTATCCGTTCATTTACAGCTGTATTCGACTCTCAGTGTGTTTTTCAGAGACAGAATTATTGAAGTATTCGGAAATAAATGCTGCCACGCCTTTTCTACCTTCGAACCTCTAAGCACGACCACCTCGCGGCTATTTATCGGAATGACGAAAATCAGTTTTCCCCACAGTCAGAGAACTATATTATTGAAATGACCCTAATCACCTGCTTTACGCGCGACCACCTAATCTGGACATTTTTGGCGATGTATCGCTTCCGGGAGGTTGAAGTGTATCTGCGGGGAGTGATAATTGAACCAAATACGTTGACGAATCTGTCTGAGATTGTCGCATAGCTTCCGTACTGTTTTAATGGCAAATACTATACTTATCGTGACTTTTCGTGCGCTTAATTGCGTGTTTCAAGTTAGCCTAATGACTATCGTCTTCTTTAGGGGCATCAGTTATACTGCGATAGCCTATCTCGGCTGCTTCAACACGGCAGAGGGCCGTTTACTGTTTATCTACAAAACTTTGAAAGTTATGTCCGTATCAGCTTCTTTTCGCACTGTTTCCCAATACATCCACCGATTTGTTTCCGTACGGGCGCACGTAGCGGACGGAAACCGCATGATTAAAGTTTGACCAAGTTTGTAAATGTAACGTTATTTATCGGGGTAAGTGGAATTGTGTGGATGTCGCCTGCCCTCAGCGAGAATGATAAAGGGAACTTGTTTCTGTTGTTGTCTGTTAACTACGATAAGAAAAGTCCGTTTCAAGTTTTTTCTGCAGTTCTTCAACTACCCCTGGATAGCATATGAAGTCAAGTGACTTAACACGGTATTGCAGTTCAGTTCATTCGTTGGCGCTTAGCATAATTTGTTTTCTTCTGGGCTGAACTTTAGAACTGTTTTTAATGAGATTTGTCATGCGACAAAAAGGACAAAAACAAATTTAAAGAACTTCTAAGTTCCCTTGGGTATTCTTACTTGACCTTACTTTACGTTCATCTATGGTGTACGTGCAGGTCATAACGAGTCCCCACGTACTTCGTAAAAGGAAGAGGTCTTGTTCAAATTTGTTCTTTAGCATTCGTGTAAAAAACCACTGGATCAAGAGCAATTTGTAAGATTGTTTTTCCGCTTTTTTTGTTTATTGTTGGGAAGTAATTGAGGCTTTTTATCAAGACAATAGGTAGCAAGGCCTGCTTGTATGAATTACCGCATTCTTTTAGATAATCATCTTTGCTGCCATGGATATTATAAGTAGCCACTTCTTTGCCACAGAACAAACATACACAACCATCCAATTCTTTTGCTTTCTTTGTTAACTGTTATTCTTAGCTCGGTTTTAAAGCTCATTTCGATCGAAATTGCTGCTATTTGATTGGTTAACTCACTTTGTTTCGTAAGAACAATATCCTTTAAAAATCCTGACGTAAATGAATGAAATCTTCACCAATAAGATTCGTTCCCCAAGGGCAGTGACGAGTCCAATTTTGCTGAAAAACAACATTTGCATTCAACCTCTTTCTTTTTCATAGACAACTGACTATATTCATAATAATAATAATAATAAAGTTATTGTATTACCCCCTTTTTGCCTTATTTTTATCTCGCCTGGCGTGTGGTTTGCTTTGAATCCAAGTAAGGTCAAGAAAGACACGGTCGGCGCTCGCGAAATTCCGTGTTCAATGCAAATTGTTCAATTCCGCGCTAAATCTGTGCCGAAACAATACTTAATTGATTCTCGCCTCAGCGGCCGTCCTTTACTTTAGGTTAAAAAATATATATATTTTTGCTTCATGCGAACGTAACGTTTGATATCGTGAACTGAAACGCTTGCGGGTTTTTTTTTAATATTGGAAGGTCTGTATCGGTGATGTTTGCCCTGTTTCAGATCAAAGAAAAAACTGCCGCATATCATTTCTTATGCAAATTAGCGATCAAATTCCCGGCATCCCGCGCGTGCTAAACAGCCGTTCGCGAAGATCTGTCGGATGTTCGAAAGTTTGAAAATGGTCGAAAATGGTGCGGTGATTTGGCAGCGATGAATTCGAACCCCTTCGCTCTTTTTCTTTGTCTTTTACTCGTCCAGGGGATTTTAAATACAGGAGGTAAGTACTGTACAATTTGATGCTCCGCTTGTTTTCGTTTCAAGGCTATTTTTTAAACTGGTACCGACACGATGGACGTGTATAGTGGCAGGTACATGGGCTGTAGTATGGTAAACGCATGGTCGAACTTAGAGCCATTTCTTGTGGCAAATATTATGTGAATGACAAACTTTGAAATACTAACTTGATAGATGGTATATAAGAAAGCGTATTTTGGTTTTCGTTTAGAGTTGCGTCTTGGGGTCAAGGATTTTTCATTCGATGATATGATGGAGGAGCGTTCTGTTTGAACCGAAAACCGAGTAGCTTGTTTACATACTGACATTCTTTATTGCGAGCCTTTTCTGCTTGAATTTGATTTATTTGCCAGTAGATTTTGGTTTTGTGGGTTATAACATGTGTTATGTGTTCTCTTTTCCCCTACCGAAGTGAAAATAATATTTTTTGTTTTCTTCGAGGCGCGTTGAATTTTCCGTATTTTACGCTTCGCCGCCCTTACAAATATTCAGATTTCTCTAATGAATAAACTAAAGGGTCTTGTGGGAATTTTAAAATCTTCTGAACCAATTTTGTCATTCACTCAATGCAAATTTCCCTTTAATGTTGGGGTGGTTTGTAAAAGACGGAACTGAAAAACATGTGAAGTGGACGTAGATATAGTTTAAGTTAGCATGTATTCAGTTCAAATCAACATGAAATTCAAACATGGCCACTGCATACTGGTAACGTTTCGCGGCACTAATGACAATTTTACCGCATATCGGTTTTCGAACTGCAATTTTACAGTTTCTCGTTGCAAAAGAAGTGAACCATTTTCAAGGTTTTACAAATGCAAATAAAGATTATTTTATGTTTAGAGACTGAGAATCTGGGGGAATGGGGCATCGACCCAAATTTTATTCCTATCTCTATCATAAATCTGCATAATTTGTTCTCCTTGTATTTTTAACATCAACCGACTTGAGCATTGTCGATTTTTGCATGGGATTTTTTTAATTTTTCAGGCCTAGAGCAGAAGGGGGCTAGAAACGAAGATGTAGTGGTAACCGATGGAATTGAATTGCAGAAAGTTTTGGAACGAACAAAAAGCGATCCAACGAAAGCGACGAAATTAAGTGATGATGAAGAAACAGATTTGGTAACCGCACGCCGCGAACACTTCAACTCGGATACACAAGGAAAGAGTAGAGAAAATAGTTATGTAGATGTAAGTTCGCTAGAAGACACTGATGCTAGACAAGCGTCTGAGAATGAAGATACGAGGCAAGGAAGTAACGACGGAGAACGAACGCCGCATCACAGAAGAACAAACCTAGAGGAACGATTAAATATTGATTCTCTGAGAAGCAAAGATCAGCGGCATGCTACAAGAGACAGTTTAGCAAAAGCTAACCAAAATAAATTGGCTCGACCCGCCGAGCAATCGAACCTGGAAGCTTCGATCGGTGTTGAAAAACCGAGCATTCCTGATTCAAATATATCCTCGACACCCCCGCCTAACGTCCTCAAGGTGAAAAACACCCTAGCGAGAGCTGAATTAGACGACATTTACTTTTTATGTAAGTGATTTTTCTTTTTATTATTATTGTTAATATATATACTTATGTAGTTTTTTATTTCCAAATTTAAAAATATGTTCAACGTGAGCTTTTTCAACGAAGAGATTTTTTAAAAGATATTTTGAATTATGATTTTTCCAAGAGTTTTGGAATATTTTACAAGATTGTGGGCGGTTGTTCTGTTTTAATCTTATTTCCATTTTTTTAAATTTCATCACAAAAAAAGTAAACCCGTAGTAATGGTCCATCTATCACATATCACACTATTGTACGTTGCTTCGCGCGATTGTTCAGTGTTTCTGAAAGGAAAGCAAGGTTGTGATTTTTTTTAGCGCTAGGAATTCATTAGTATTATTTTCAAAGACTATCGCTGTAATGGTTTACCGAAGATTGTCAACTGTGTGAAATCAGTTGTAGTTTCCAAAAACATGTACTTTATTTCGCTTCCTGCAATCAAACTCTGTTGGTGAAAAAGGATAATAAATTCCATTTCCTAGCTAGTGGGAAGTAATTAAGCGGTTACTCATTTCAACCAAAATCCTGTAGAAAACTGTTCTTGTTTCTAGTCTCCAGGTAGAATTCTTTGTATAAATAGGCTATCTTCGGCGGTCGTCATCCAGCTTCCGTGTTGCGTCAGTTCATGTGTACTTTGTGTCAATGTGTACAATGTTTTGATGTAGTTCTTTCAGTTGTGTTGCAATATTTGATGCTTAAAATGCAGTTTATTCTTTATCATTTAATTCTTTTCTGTGCTATGCTTCTTACTCCTTTGGGCACTCCGTTATAGTAGCTTGTGCTTAGTTTATTAGGCTACTCTTGTTTTTGTTTTTACGTTGCATTTTGTTTCTGAGAGGCTCAAAAAGAAACCCACTTTTTTTTAGTTTTGTTACATTTCGGAATCAAAAAACTAGAATCCTATAGGCTGTCTTTTAACTAGTGACATGCCAATTTAATGTGATGAATATGGTTTAAAATATCAGTTTTGTACAAAAAAAACAAAACCCATGAAATTTTGTACAAGACTAGGAAGCAATTCACAAACGTTTATCTCGTTATATAAACTTCGTATCTCATTTCAGGAACTAACTTTTGCCGGAAAAAAAACTGACTTCTATGCATTTTGTAGATAATTCAAAATTAAGAACAGTTTTTTGAGTCAAAGTTTAGATATTTTTTTCTGAAAATGCTTGTAAAAAGGAAAGATTTATTATTTTTTCATAGAATAATTTCTTTTCAATATTCTGTTTCATAGATATGAAAATTTTTTATTATTGTTTAATTTTATAATATTGCTGTTTTTAGTTAACTGTACCTCCAAATTTTCAAATGCAACAATTCAATTTGATTCTATTAATTTTTCTTCAACTTTATACAATAAGTTGGCAGATGTTTCCCCTGTTTCTAAATAGAAATAATTGTGTGTTATTGTTTCAACATTAATAGCTTTGGAATATTGTTGTTATGTTCATTCTTGTTTGATTGGTTGAAATAGCAAGCAGTGAAATAAGCTTAGAAGTGACAAATATTTTGATTTTGTTTAAAGGATGGTTACTGTGTGTTTAGAATCTTTTTTTATGAAAGGTAGGGAATAAAATGAGCTGCTTTAAACAGATAAGATGGAATAAGCTTTTAACAGTTTTGTGGAAAAGTTTTATGGTCAAGCAGGGATCTTCATTAACTTCGAAACTGGATTTTACCTAGAGAGCATTTTTACAGAACTCCTAGAAGGGCAAACAGTGAACTCTCGACAGGAGTCCATAATGCGGAGCGAGTAACTCTCATTCTAGGCCTATGTCACAGTGATTTTATGGCCTGGTTTGTTTTTTGACACATTTTTGGCCATGTCTTTGAGCGCAGTTGAAGTCTGAGATATCAAAAAACATTATTTAAAAGGCAAAAAATATCATTTTTAGGTCTCTAGGTTTTGTTGACTGGTTTGTGGGGGATTGAGACATATTTTAAATTTGCGCCAAAATCATTCTAAAAATAAACTGGCCGTTAAGACGCCATAACACGAGCACACGGAAGTTGCTCGCCCCAGGTTATGGGCTCCTGCTCTTAAGGCATACTTAACTTTTAAATCAAAATATGGTTAACTTTTTTCCATATGATCGCTATGATTTTGATCTAGAAATGGTTGATCAGTTATTAAAGCAATTAAATATGGAAGGCAGACCTAAAATTATGCAGCTACCTGTAGTTAAATAAATAATGATTTGGAGGTTGCGCATCCACATATTTGTTCTTTGTTTACCTGATTTCTGGTCAAATTGGAATTTGGAAATGTTAGTTTTTGAGGAGAGGGAAAAACTGGAGTACCCAGAGAAAAACCTCTTGGAGCAAAGGAGAGAACCAACAACAAACTCAACCCACGTATGGTGTTGACGCTGGGACTTGAACCAGGGCCATAATGGTGGGAGGTGAGTGCTCTCACCAGTGCGCCACCCTTACTTTTCTAGGTGTGATTAAGTGATGGGTCAAGCAAAGATTGTTGCAGCCATTTCAGAGCTGTTTTCATATGATTGCTTCAATCACTGCGATGGTTTCTTCAGCATTTTAAGTGACTGAACGGATCATATCAAAATTTGGAAACCAGGCTTTATCTTCCAAAATTTAGTTGTGAATATTTAAGTAAAACACAGAAATAAAAGGTAAACCCTCTGTACATAGTATACATAATGCAGCCTAGATCTACATATATACTTCAAGATAATTCTGGTGAAGCAAAAATATTGTCAGCCAGCAGAAGAAGGTTGAAAATTTCTTTAAAAACATAAAGTACTATTATTCTCTAATTGAAGACACTGTTTTGTGTTTCCTATTGGGGATGGGACTCGGCTACTTTATGATCTTTTGAGCCATTCAAAGGTTGGTTGGTTTGGAGGGTAAAAGTTTATGTAGTTCGTACACTAAAAATGCACTTTGAATGTTGCACGAAATTCTTGTCACTCCACACACTGGTTCAATCAACTCAAGAGGAACGTAGCTTTTGATTGAATAACACAATTCTCACTCGTTCATTGATCAAGACAAGAACTAGAACTAACATGGCCATCCAAGTAAGAGATGCCTAGATTTTAACTGATCGCTTACCTCAAGTTTTTGCTGTCATTTTGTATCCCAGTGATTCAAATCACTTGGATTTCCACTGGGAAAATACCTTTACCATCTAAATATTTTTATATAGAAGCATTTCTTGACCACTAAAACATCCCTAAATTTTCCTCTTATCGACGTCCACAATTTCCCAGTTTTGAGAAAATGATTGTACGAGACTATATGATTACTGACGGTTTCCCAGGGGCTAAAACTAGCCTTGTGATTGGCTTAAACTCTCACTTTCTTTCTTTGTGAACTGCAAGACAACAATAATTGTTGTCTTGCAGTCATTAGAGAACAGTGAAAGGCAGAAAAACAATGAATGCTTTTGCTTTCCGATGTGTGGCAACCTTGTGCATGACAAAGTATTTTTATGTGTATCATGACCTTTAAGAATGAAGACAATGGAAAACTGTCCCTTGATTCATAGTTTTCCATAACATCAGGAATATTTTTTCCAAAACATTGGCCGTTGTTGTGCCTTTTCCATGATCTGTTCTCATTAGAGAGTGGCTCTGTACTAAAGAGCATAAATGTCACACATACTGTGTGAAAAATTTGTGCCTGGCTTTTGAAATAAAAGGGAGAGCAAAGTAGGCAGAATTTCAAGACAGTACTTGAAAGCATTGATGTGATTCACAACAAAAACGGGTATGGTCTGAGGTCACACAGCTATCTGCACTCATCCCATAACTCTTATCTGAGCAATATTGCTAAAATTAGGAAATATATGTATCATCTACTCACTGCAAGATTTTAATACATACATTTATTACGTCAAAACTAGACTACAGTAACTCTCTCTTATCTGGGCTTCGACAGAATCATATTAACAAACTTCAGATTGTGCAAAATTCTGCTGCACGTCTTTTGACAGGTACTAGGAAACATGAACATATTTCACCCATTTTAAGGTCTCTTCTTTAGTTGCCTATTCCAGAAAGAATTAATTCTTACATTTAAATCACTTAATGATGTAGCACTGCCTTATATGCAAGAACTGTTAGTTTGTTATTGACCAACAAGAACTCTGCATTCTGTAGATAAAGGACACCTAGTTCAGCCCAATTATAACCTTAAAACCTATGGTTTCACACGCAGCTCCTAAGATAGGGAATTCCATGCCAGTCAGTTTACGCACGTGTTGTGAGCTGAGCGCTTTCAAATCAAAAATCAAAACATTTCTTTTTAAGCATGCTTTTCAGTTATAATTTCGTGTTTGTTTTTTTTATTATTATTGTTGCATAACACAATAAAAACAAAAGATAAAATCCGATGTTTTGGAGTAGTCATGACTCCATTATCACTGGATTATTATTATGAATTATTATTCATTCGTTTATTTTTGTTTATTTATTTATTTTATTTATTTTATTTATTTATTTTTTTAACAATTAAGTTGTTGTAATATTTTATCAGGTTTATTACTATTAGTACTGATTGTAAAGCACTTTGGTTAACTAAGAGAAAGAAAGAAAGGCGCCAGATAAGCGTATATTATCGTTATTATTATTATTATTATTATTATTATTGTTATTATTATCAGTGAAGCCCTGAATATCCTTAATAATGCAACTTTGAGGGAAAATTAAGAAACATTCACTTGATTTTTTGTTTTACTTAGTGCTTGCCCCTTAATTCTATCTGACATCTTTGATTAAGTTGCATGACATTTTTGCAATCAAGGGCTGTTGTTATAGGAACATACCATACTTATTCATGCTCTCTTTAATTCTTGTGAGCATGATATGGGCACTCTCTCTCCATATGAGTACTGTAGTAAGTATCATAATGCTAGATTTCATCTTAGAAAGCACAACGAGTGAGGTTTAAGTAATATATAATTTTGCATGTTTTCATCCGTAGTTATAGTCATTGGCTGCAGTGTAGCTGGGATCGCTGGATTAGCCTTGGCAGGGTACTGCTGGTATAAGTAAGTAAACTTTTGATTTTTTTTAATCAAGAAAGTTTGTTTCCTTAATTTTATTTTTGAGTAGTTTGAGATTAAATAAAGGAAGTTAAATTTGTGTGTGTAAGAGTGAAAGAGTCCATATAATATAGCGTTAAAAGACGTTTTCCTGTGATACATGTAATCATTTTACATAAACATGCAGACCAACTTCTGGCTGCTCTGATTATATACTTCAATCCACATTTATATTTTGATCCTGCTCTTATTGTTTTCTGTGTAAGATAAATAATGTAAATATTGGAGAAATCCTTTAGTAAAAGTAAGATGTCAAGAGAAACATTCTTTATCAAGACTTTTGACATTTAATATTGTTTTTTAAAATGACTGAGAGCATTTGCCATTATTTTTACGTTGGAGGCTTGGAACACAGCTACTTACACCGATAAGAAGAAAAATTACAGGACAAACTAGATGAACAAAATGAACAACAAAGAAAAGAAAAAAGAAAAGAAAACAATAATAACAATAACAAAATAACAATAACACCTCTTATCAAAAAGATAAAGAAGAAAAACGCGTTTCCCTCTGCTGAAAACACACTGAAAATAATTTTTAAGGGGGATAAATGCGTCTTGAAAAATTAAATTGAAATCAGGAAAGGTACAAACACCAGATTGAAGAAGAAAATATGTCTAGAAAAATAAAAAAAGTTACGAAATAGAAAAAGGTTCTGTTTCTTCTTTATGTTGTTTAAAAAAAGACTCAAAATTACCAATATTCGGGATAGTTCCTTTGCTTCTGAAAAGCCAAATGTAAAAAGCTTACATCTTTGTGCATAGAAATTAAGCAGAGGTGGGCAATTTGTGTTTTGTTTATTGCGTTAGGTTAAGTAAAATGAGGTGTTATATATTAATACTCTTTTTCATTTTAATAGACTACACACCACAGCAAAGGCTGTAAGTGAGGCAGAATACTCTGCTGCTTATGGAGCTGCTAAACCAGGTCCTCAGGTTTCTCAGGTACAATAATAATGGTATAATAATAATGATAGTGATGATGATAATACGGTTGAACCTCCATGTGCGACCACCTCTTGAAAGCCAGCACCTCCCATAAGCGCCCACCTACTCAAAATAACAAAATTTTCCCAGTTGAAGCCTTACAGTTGGAAACTTTCATAAACGACCTCCTCCTGTAAACAACTACAACAACTTTTCAGGACTGTTGGTTTTATTATTTTCCACTGTTTTTTACCTCTTGTAAGCCACAACTTCGCAGATGGTCTGATCTCAATGTTCACTCCATTTATTGTGTTACTTAGAGTACAGCTCAGGAAGAACTGTTGACAACAACATGGAATTACACATATCGTAACTTGGAAATTGCATGCATTATATTATCTACCATAAATCAGATGTGTCTGGACCTCTTCTCGGAAGGGACCTCCTGAGGTCAAGTTCTTGTAAATTACTACCTCCCATAAAGGACCAGTCAGTCTTCAAATTTTGGGTGGTTGCTCGTGGGAGTTTCAACTGTAATAACAGTATGGCTTGGTTGTTTTTTTTATTGCTTCTAAGCAATAAAAAAGCAAAGAGCTTTTTTGGCTGCAGAATCATGGTGTTTACACTGTTTTTTTCTGTTATAGGGAGACCATAAACTTGATTACAGTGCAGAGATTTATCATTATCAACAGACCAAAAGTCAACTGTCAGCCATGGAAAAGTGAGTGAGGAATGTAGTACATTTCCCATTCAATTGTTGAACTGTTGGTGCAACAGTTAATCAGACATTATTGTTTTTTATTTGTTTGTTTGTTTGTTTTTTCATGTAAATAGTTAATTTATTTTTTAGTAGTAGTTGAAGGTCATACCCTGTTTAGTGATTTAATCATCTGGATTTGGTCCAATGCAAAATTCAGTGACTTTCTTGTAATGAAGCCCTGTTAAACCCTGGCTAAACAATCAAACATTAAAAAATAATAAAATTATAATAAATTTTTTACCATGGATTGTTTAGCTGGGCCTTAGTATACGTTTCAACAAGCCTTTAAACAGCAATGTCAATGATGATGAATGACTCAAAAATGGATTTGGTAGTAATCAGTACACCCTCATTAAAGTTAATAAGTGAAACATGGATCCTCAGAGCTGATACTTGAGACCTGCGTACTACTCATAAAGGAGAATTATGAGGAGGCAGTGTTCAGAGGGGATAGAGAGCTGAAATAATTGCATTCTGCAACTGGACACCCTAAGTTCATTCCTCACCCTAACTGCGAATTGGATTTGTTCGCAGTAGTTGCAAGTTTAACTCCTCAGTCACACTTTAATAGCCAACTGCTAAAAGCCTTCGGCCAGTTGGGACTCTAAACCTCTGTTTATTTTCGAGACGTGAATCCTTATTGTAGGACACTAATGTGTTGCCCTATTAATTAAAGACAATTTATTTTTATTCTCCATAATGAGAAAATATCTCTGTTAATAGGGCTAGTGGAACAAAGGGAAGCATAAAAGGCGAAACTCTTGATGATGAGGAGGAGAACAGTGATGAAGGAGATGAGGAGGATTATACTGTCTATGAATGTCATGGACTGGCTCCAGTAAGTTCTTTGGAAAATGCTTTGGATGATCAAACAAATCAGACCCACTCGAGTGCATTTGACCTTCACTAGAGATATTTTATTGTGTAGCTATTATTATACAGCTGTCGAAAAGTGATGCAATAGTTTGGTTCAGAATTTCAGGCGTTGACTAATGCACACAAAAAAGTCACCCCTGCCATGGGCTTAAGGAGGCTCTTAACCCTTTAAGTCCTAATAGTGCTCAAAATCAATTTTCTCCTAATGATATCCATAGACTATCGTGAGTAAAGTCTACGAGAATTGACAAAATGATCACAAAGAGAAAAATATTTGACCTTTCATTAAATTCTCTCAACTAATTCTTCAAGGAAATGTATGGAGATCAGTTTGGAGAATTTGTATTTGGATATTGGGACTTAAAGGGTTAACAATAATATTTAAAGTCAATTCAGTCTGTGACACTGGAATCCTTAGCTTTGACGTCATTAGGTATACTGAATGACCGCCTATTCACATCATGGCCTTTGCCTTTGGAATTAACATTAAAAATACTTGATCAGGTACTATGAAAGATATTATTACCAAGAGTTTGGATTTACCAACTGAGTTGATTATTGTTCACTTTACAGACGGGTGATATGACAGTTGTTAACCCCTTGTTCAGTGATCAAGAAGTTGGCGGCAGTGATCAGGACGGCAATGGAAATAAGAGTGGTGCTAGTGGTCAAGGATCGCCTGTAATGCCGCGACACCCACATAAAGAGTAGTAAAATAGCTATCATTAATTATTATTATAATTTGTTTTATTTTTGATCAGTTCATGGGTTGTTCCTGTTATTTATGTTAGATATGTTTTTGTTCCTGAATTTAATTACATGGATGCACCTAGATGCTTTCAAAATGGTTTAATTTTGTCTATAAAGTCTGGGTTGATTATATTTCTCTCAATTTAAGAAAAAAACAGGATTGTCACAAAGGAATTTTACACTTCACTGTTGAAACCAGCTTGTGAATATTTCTGTGTTTCAGTTCTCGATGACAAAATTTTACTGTCTTTTGTGAATGTTTTAGTCCAGCTAACTTACGCAGTGTCACCACAAGTCTGTTAAGTTTGTAAATGCATGCAAACACACTAGTTTACAGCTGCATTTCTATATTAGAATATTATCTGTGTTTTTTAATTTATTGCTTTGGAACTGTTTCCAAAAACACAAAATGTACTTGTCAGTGGCAGATCCAGACCTTCAGATAAGGGGGGGCCCTTAGTCATCCAGACCCTGAGGTAAGGGAGGGAGGGGGGGGGGGCAATCTCCAAAAATTTTTTTCCAGCCCTTTGGGATTAAGTGTGGTCTAAAAATAAGGGCGTGGGCCCCTCCCTTGGATCTGCCACTGCTTGTTTATATTACTTCCCATACGCCATAAGTGCAAAGTTTGTTTGCATTTATAAACTTACTGGGTCTTGAGTGGACATAATGAACAATGAAACACGCGTTGAAATGTATGGCTAGGTGTATCCAGTGTTGTTTATGTTCAATTAAAGGGATGGACAAATGAATCTAAAATGTAACGGTAGTTAAAAGGAATAATATCCATGGAGAGACGTTTTTTACAAAAAGAAAATTATTAAATTTCAGATTATAATTTTTTATATTTGGGTCTTTGGTATAAAGTTGCATCAATTCTGAAAATTATGCTGGAAGCCCTTCCAGTTTGTAAATATCAATAATCAGACCATCCTGGTTTTATAAAGAATTTAAACCAAGTGATGAATGTTAATGTTGAAACTTGAGATAACAATCGTATTTATTCGTTATTAGTATGGTGTAAGTAGAGTCAGTTATTATGTGCTTGTTGTGTTTAGAAGGGTCAGCTATGTGTGACGAGACTTCTTACAAAAATTATCAAATGCATTTTATGTAGCTTGGTTATGCAGAGATGTAGAGACTGGTTTTATTCTGAGTCATGGTGTACCATTGTGAAAGCTCTCCCTGTGACTATCATTCATTTGACTGATACAGTGTATTCTTAACAGATGTACATTTCTTTGGTATGGAATACCAGGTTAACTTTTTACACCAAAATTACAAATTTAAGACAAAGGATAAAGCACAGGGCTAGTAGTCTATGAAACTTAGGGTTTGTTAGGCGAAAGTTATAAAAAAAATTAGATTTCCTGCACCAACAAATAAACATTGTATGTGAAAGAGAAAATACAGGAATGCTTTTAAAGGATAGTAGCAACGGAAATTTTTTAGGCTCCCCAAACAAAAAGCAAAGAGATTATTTGAAGCAAATAGTTAGTGTCAGTATATTTCAACTTCAGTTGATCCGGGTTCATGTTTATTCACAAGTCTTTGCTAACAGGTATCTCAAGTTAAGAATTGCTGGATAACAATGGTACAGCCTTTGTTAGGAGACAAAACTTAAGAGAGATCTTTTTTTGGTTGCCTTGGTATATCATTGTATTCCTGGGACCAGATAATTTGACAACTTTTCTCTGGAGGAGAAGTTGTTGGCATCTACCATCTTACACGTTCCCCATGATGCAATTTGTCTTCCCCACAAAATTTTGCATAAGTTTTGTTCGCAACTGTTAGACCCCAGAGAAAATTGAAAACAATGTTTATACAAAATTTTGTGGGGAAAACAAATTGCATTATGGGGAAGTGAAAGTTGAATTCTATGAGATTATTGTTAGAAATTTTGAGATGATCTTCAAGTAATTTGCATTTAGTTTTTGCTTTGGATTTAGCTGAGCATAATGTTTCAACAAAAGAACTCTGCTTAACCAAGCGACATACATCCACTGTAGTTCAGATGCTGCCCATTTTGAAGGTTTCAAGCCTTTGGGACAAGACTGCAAGGTGATGTAGGTAGCTGTGGATCCTTTGTAATTAGGCGATAAGTTCATGGTTTTCACTTCTCTTGAGCAAACGTCACAGAATTTTAATTTAACCTTTAGGATATGATGTAAGCAGAGTTGCTTCATAACTGAGTTTGATATATTTATTTTTTAAGGAAACTACCTTGTTGTGATTCAGTCTTGTCCCCTAGGCTATCCCACATTGTTTACTGAAACATTGTTATGCCTAACTGTGTATTGTTGAGTGTAAAATGTTGATTTTGTACAACTTAAAATTCCATAGCATCCTTTTGTCATAAACCTTTTTTGCGCTCTCACTTTTTTCTTTCAATAGTCATTCACTTCTACAACACGTTACAGTTACAAAAGTTAAACTAAAAGGAGTAACAAATATCACAAACTGGACAAAAATACAGGACCCTCACATTATTAATAACTTCACAGGAGCTCAGGCTTCAGGAGTAATCACCTGGAGACACATGACGTAAAACAAAATACCACTTTGTTTGGTATTGTTTCATAGTTTTTGTTCTTTTGTGTTACGTCATCTGTTTCCAGCACACAGATTAAATGCCGACTGTTCCAGGGGTTTAGTTAATAGATGGCTGGCAGACCTCATAAATCTGTTTCTTTTTGTTCAAACACAATTACAAGAAAGTGAATTGCCTTCTATCAAGTTTTACTTTACCCTGAAATCAATCATGTACTTTGAGAATTTGTACCACAATAAACAATGTTATGGGCTTGTCTGATATCTTTTGAAGTGTCTAAGTCGCTTACCGGCTTCGGTTTTTGGTTTTGATATCTT